GTCAAAGTTACGCTTCCTGTCAAGGGCCAAGAAACCCCAAAACTCCGGCGCCGATGCATCGTTCAAAGCGAGCTGGGCAGACAGGGTCAAGGGGAAGCGCGCGGAGGGGGAGCCTGCTTCTGATCAGTAAGTCACCAAACTCGAGGCAGAGATGGCACTACTTAAAAAATTATTCTGCGAAACAATCAGATGATTGCCGTCATGAGGGAAGAGAATAAAATAATAAGGGAAGGAATTCATAACTACAGAACAGGCATGGTGCAGTGCAATGACGCAGTAATTATAACACAGAATAGTGGAACCAGTATGGAGGAGAGCACTGATTCCCTCTTCCAAAACGTAAGGCTTTAGAGAACAACGACGATGGTACTAGCAAGCACAAGTAAACGAATACTGCTAACATGTTGCAGAAAGGTCAAGAGAAATATAAAGAATGCGTAGATTTACGAATGAGCAAAGTTGAAGTAGCTGTGAAAGTTCAAATTGAGGCAATAAACGACAATAACGAAACTAAGGGAGCGCAAATGAAAGAGTGGGGAACGGCTATTATGCAGCAAATTCACACAGTTATACGACAACAGCAGGTTCACCAGCAGCAACTAGATAGCTTATCTACTAGGGTAACAGAACTTGAGAATTGCCCCTCTGCTACAGGCGTACAAGCCAGAGGAGTAGCGCTCTTTAAACTATTCATCAAACCTCCTCTACTAAAGCCGGCTATTATGAACCCAGCGCCTCCTCAGCAATAATTGCCGCCATGGACAGTGACAACAAATACTTATTATGGCAATGGCAATTGTTGAAGTTACGGAAACAAGAAAGCCATTCTACAACAATATCTTAAAGATAAAGAAAAACCAGATATCATCATCTTACAGGAGACGCATGGTCCCGCTAAGTTGTCTGGCTACCGCTCTATCGGCAGTACCATGGGGGAGGCTAAAGCCCTTACAACTTTAGTGCGGAGGGATCACACGGCAGTGCAACACAGGACACAGGTTACCGATATAGAAAATACACTAATTGAAATCATACCCACAAGAAAAGCAGAGGACAATGTGTTCATCCTAAACGTGTACAGTAGCTTGAAATTCACACGGCACAGATTTTAACTCTCGTTAAGCGCACGCTTACTATAGCAGCTGACCAAGTTGTAATAATCGGAGGAGACTTTAATGCCCCTCATTGTACATGGGGTTTAGACACGTCCACCCCAAGGGCAGTAATCTCTAGCTGGACTCGCAGTAGGAATGGCTAACACTCATCACTGACCCCACAGTACCCACTAGGCAAGGGAATAGTGCCTGTGGTGGTACGCCGCCCGACCTTACTTTTAAAAAGAACACGCAATCTGCACGATGGCTGACTACACAGCAAGACTTTGGAAGTGATCATTCTATCATTGAAATCCTGCTTATTGGGGGGCGCACCAAACACATGGGCAAAGAGCTTAGGCTAGTTGACTGGGTTAACTTCAGAAATATGCGAGAGGGCATAACAGGAAGCATTACAAACGTTGACCAATGGACAGCTAATTTAAAGAAGGATATTTCACAAGCAACAAAAATAGTCCCACCAGAATCTAAGCTTGAAATTCTGAACAGTAGGTTATTACATATGTCGGAAGCCAAACAAGGGCTACAAAAACGCTGGAAAACGCAGAAACAGGACATTGAGAAAAAAGATAGCCACACTTAACAAGGAAATCAAACAATTTGCACAACAGGTCCATTGCCAACAATGGGAAGAAATTTGTACTGCCATGGACAGCCAACTGAGCCTGGGCAAAACGTGTAATTTACTTCGACACGTCTTAAGCCCAGAAGACACAAAAATGGTACACAAACAAAATATGCACACAATTCTGCATGCCTATAAGAGCACAGAAAAAAAATTTCTCAAAGAGGTCGCGCCTAAATACATATCGCAGGCACCACCATGCACTCACGCCGATTATGTAGGAGCACCGAATTCTGACCTTGATGAAAAATTCAATGAAGCCAAAATACGAGCAGTTCTACACAAAATAAATACTACCTCGGCATTGGGCCCTGGCACCATTATGAACAAAACACTGCGAAACCTAGACGATACGTCAGTTGGCAAATTAACATACTTTATTATTGAATGCTGGAGACAAGGCCATATACCACAGCAATGGAAAACGGCGCACGTCATTCTCATACCCAAGCCTGGAAAACGCTTACAGATTGAAAATCTAAGACCTATTTAACTAACTTCCTGCATGGGTAAGGTAATGAAACACGTCTTACAGACACGATTGACTAACTAACTAGAGGACAACAACGTGCTCCCATGTACAATGATAGGATTTCGGAAAAATCTCTGCACACAAGACGCGATGCTACAAAAAAAAACACGAGATCATAGATGACCCTAGCCGATCAACTTCAGCCATCCTAGGGCTTGATCTAAAAAAAGGCCTTTGATGATGTCACCCACCAAGCCATACTGAATCATATCAGTAACTTAGGTCTAGGTGAGCGGACGTATAGTCACATCCGGAACGTCCAAACGGATAGACAAGCCATAATTGTTGTAGGAGGCCACACATCCGAAGAAATATCTATGGGTAGTGTAGGTACGCCCCAAGAATCAGTGATATCAACTATGTCATTTAGCTTAGTCCTAACTTGCCTCCCAAGTAGATTCGAAAAGATAGAAGGTTTGCACCGTACAAGATATTCAGATGATATTACTCTGTGGGTAAGCAACGGCAGCGATGGGCCAATTGAACAACGTTTACAAGAAACGATCGATACCGTAGAGCAATACCTAGAAAAAACTGGTCTCACGTGCTCAGCCAAAAATTCTGAGCTGCTACTACATAGACCAACATTAAAAGGCTGACCTCCCAAGAACCACAACACACATACCTACACAGACATACAACTTAAAACACGAGATGGACACACCATACCTTTGTCGAAGAGATAAGGGTACTGGAGTTAATATTAGAAGCCAAAGGCACTAACGGGGAAACGGTACGCAATATTCAAGCGAACGTTTCTCAAACGACGCGCCTAATCAAAAGAATTACGAATAATCATAACGGCATGAAAGAGGCGCATGTCATAAGGCTCGTCAACGCGTTTGTCATCAGCCACATTACGTACGTTTCCGCATACCCTAGAGGGTTCGCAGCAGAAAAGATGAAATAAACAGCCTCATAGGAAAAACGTACAAACAAGCACTGGGGCTCATGCAAAGCACAAGTACAGAGAGGCTGTTAGAGCTAGGTTTCCATAATACACTTGAGAAACTGATATAGGCGCAACGTATTGCACAGTACGAGCGCCTCTCTAAAACCAAGACTGGTAAATGCACCCTAGAAAAATTAGGCATCACTTACCACACCCAATATGGCAGCAAATGCGACATTCCTCGTCACATAAGGGCAAAGCTCACGGTGCTTCTGTTACCTAAAAACATGCAATCCATGCAAAATGCTGGTAGAAGGCTGAGCAGAGCCAAGACAATGACAAAGTGCTACGGAAACAACAAAGAAGCGGTCTTCGTAGATGCCGCCCGTTACAAACACAAAAGCTGCTTCGTCATGGCTGTATTTAACCACAAGAAACAATGCAGCACCAGTCTGACAATACACACGAGACGCGTTGAAACGGCGGAAGAGATACCTATAGCTTTGGCCATATCACAAACTGACGCTTGTTATATATTCAGCGATTCACAAGCGGCTCTACGCAACTTTGCCAATGGCAGAATATCCCCGGAGGCACTGCGTATTCTTAGAACAGGCAAAACCAACCAAGACAACAGATGCGTTTGCGTTCTCTGATTCCCAGCTCACATACCCGACACCACGGGAGATATCAACCCTGACTAGGTGGCACACAACGAAGGTCCAGGACTCACTTTCCGGGCTACGACTAATGTTGATCCCTCCTCAAAATTTCTAAATGTGTGGGAAGTGGAGGACCGATAACAGCGCTCAATGAAATTATGAAACATTATAAATTACAGTGGCGTGTTTACACCCTCCTCATCATAAACGCAACAGGGCACAGTCTGTTCAAAGGCGACCATTACAAACCAGATCCTATAGGAATCCAGCGCTACTACATGCTATGTATCCAGTGATCTACGCGACCGCTCAATGCAAAGATTGTCAGGCACGAGCTTCCTTAGAACATATACTATGGGAATGCCAGGTATTAAAACACAGTAATGAGAACGCGGCCTCCACCGACAGCTTCCGCGCGCGTTGGCTGGCCGTGCTGCTCAGTTCAGCCCTGGACGATCAGCTATGGGCCATCCAGCGGGCCGAGGAAGCCGCTCGGAGGCAAGACCTTCTAGCCGACATCTAGGCGGGAGCCCAGCCCACTAACACGCCGGATACAAAATAAAGTTTACTCCTTCCTTCACTGCGGCATGTAGTCATGTTCTCACATCACAGCACCTCATGATTATCGTGTTTGCACCAGTCACATACCTTCATCATCCATTGGCGTCACGTGATACCAAATTTATTTGGCATATGTCAAGCTGGCGAAACGACCACAAGCGCATCATAGTGTGGCATCTATAGTCATGTTGTTACATGACACGCAAGTCGTTATTATTATGTTTCAATGTGTCATTTTCTAATGTCAACCGTTCGCAATACCGAGTTTGGTACATGTGAAGCTAGCGAAATGGCCGCGAGCGCATCATGAGCGTATCATGCAGTCATGTGATTATCATGAGCGTATCATGAGCGTATCATGAGCGTATCAGCCTCGCACGGAGCAGACGTGTTTTTCCCCGTCCCCAGTCCTATGATTTTGGCAGCTTTTGCTCACTCCCGTCGGCGTATTTATTTCTCGTCTAAACCATAAATAGCACTCTCGAGTGCAGCCCTTTTTAGGGCTATAAGGTTTAGCATGTGATTTCTCAATGCCCCTTTTTTTCTTTTTTTTATTATTGTTTACTTTAATTTCTATGGCATTACCCTGGATGGTCCCTCAATCTCATCGCTAATGGCGGACGGCCTGCCTGAGGGCTTCCCGTCAGGTTATGCTCTCGACTTGGCAGAAAGAGCCAAGGCCTTCGACTTACTGCTCAAACCCGCGGCACAGGTTTTGCACACAGGAACGGCCGGCCGACCAAGCCCGCCGCGTCCCTCACCTACCTCCAGCGCACGTACCAGGGCAGGGAGACTCAAGGCAGCCACAAGCCTGCTGTCCAAACCTCCGCAGCAGACCGCGAGCAACGCTGGTCCTTGGCTCCGCGCACGAAGGGCGAAAAACTTCCTACCGAAAAAGCGCCCAGGCACAAGAAGGCAGACAGCAGCCGCCGCCATTTTAGGGACGCCCGCCATCCTGCAGAACCGGTCTCCGTGCCAGGAGACAGGGATTCAAGCCAGCAGCACTAATGAGGTTGGCTACCCAGAAAAGACAGAATGTGAGCTGTCTCCCTCCCCTCAGAAGAGCGACGCAGCCAGCAGTGGTTCTTCCCCCATCACTGAAACGTCGTCCCCCACCTCTTCCTCGTCGTGGTCACACAACACGTCGGCCTCCTCTCCCAACACCTCTGTAGAAGAGAGCAGCCCGGAACAGAAGGAGCAGGGCTCCTCCTCCCCTTTGGTGACTGACGACACAGGGACACCTGGAAAGGCAGCCCTCTCTACCCCACAAGCCGAGGGAGAAAAACAAGTTTTCCTCTCGGTGTTCCCGAGTACACCTCTTTCAAGACCGCCTAATCAGCTACGCCGGGATGTAAACAAATCCAGCGCATCTCGAGAAACGCAGCTGCGCCCCCTTGCTCGCAACAGCTGTGTGCTGGGGCCGCCCGAGGAACCATTTCCTTCACTGCCATCTACAGGGGCTCCAAACGGCACCAAACTCTGCGAACCACAGGTTCCTACTACCAACACACTGCAGAAGAACCAGGGGGTACAAAAACCTGCGGTTTCAACCCAAAAATGTACCCCACCCACTCAGCTACCTGCTAGACCTGGGTCTACTTCCCAGCAAGAGACCGTCCTCTACAGGCCAACCACTAGGAAAACCTCCTTTCGGTCTGCGACACAAGAGGCAATCTCCGCACAATTAGCGGAAGTTGAGGGGGCACACCGCGTGCGAATTAACTTCGGCCGCAATGTTATCGCTGTCGACGTTGCCGCGGGAGCACCGCTTGCGCCCCTCCTCGCAGTTTCCGACATTTGCGAGATTCCCGTGCGTGCCAGGCGGGCGTCAACCAACACCTGCAGTGGAATAATCCACAATGTCGACCCAGCACTCACGGAGGAGGAACTACGCGACAACATCGCATCGCAGCTCCCTGTACTGCAATGCACGTGATCCGGACGCAATGTCGTGATCATGTTCTCTGGACGGAAACCTACACAGGACATCTAACTTTACAAACAACGACGCCCGGTTCGTGCTTGCCGCCCTCGTCCTGTGCAGTGCGAACGGTGCGGTCGCTACGGCCACACGGACATCACCTGCACCGCACATGAACGTTGTGTGCGTTGTGGCGGGCCACATCCGCGTGCCGATTGCTCCGCGCAGCGCACGCATTGCATATTCTGTGGCGCCACCCATCTAGCCACAGAACCCCGCTGTCCTCGCTGGCTACAAGAGCGTTAGCTGCTAGAGGTCCGCGCGCAATCGGCCCTCCCCATGACACGCCGCGAGGCCTTTGCAGTTGTTCGCAAGAACAACCATATGGCACACAATTCTGCCACTCGAGAAGGGTTTTCATATGCGGCGGCCGCTGGTGGCTCTACTGCTGATGCATCAACGAACACCACCACCACTCCAGAGAACTCCTCGGCGATCTCGGTGCTCGCGGCCACAGTTGGTACCGCGTTGGACTTCCTCCCTCGCGACTGTCCGGTTCGCCCGCTCTGCATAGCAGCGCTGGCTACGCAACAAGCTCTGACACAGCATGGCGAGTAAAAACTGTGCACGGCGGCCGCGCATCCTTCAGGGGAACTGTCTTTCTTTGCGCCGCCGTCACATTGAGCTCGCTGAGTACTTGCTGCTCAACGAGTACGACATCATCGCACTACAGGAGGCTTATGTACTCGGAATCGAATGTAGACTCTTTAGTTACTCGAGCTACCACTGTACAGCGAGGTGTCAAGTGCGCGACTCCGATTTAGATGTGTGCTGCGACCCCACACACCCTCCCACCCGCTCTTACGCCTCCATCTACGTGCGCAATGGACTCTCACATTGCACTGTTGATGTTTCTGACACCTTGTGCAGTGAGGTTGAATGTGTGGCCATTAAAGTGCGCCTCGGGCAGTGCGACACGGCAATGGCGTGTGTTTATGTCCATCCTGCTGCACCATCGCCGAGAGTGGTACAAATCTCGCCGCTTTTTCCTCACCACCAGCATGCGCAATCAAGTACGTCCTTTATGCACTGAGGATTTCACTCTCGGGGAGTTGCGCCTGGCTTTGGCGTCGCGCAAACGGCGCTCAGTGCTCGGCACTGATGGCGTGACATACCAGATGCTTCGCAACAACGATCAGTCCCAGCTCCCAGTGCTCTTGGCCACCTACAACGACGTGTGGCGCACGGGGATAGTGCCGCAAGAGTGGCGCGAAGCCATCGTCATCCCCGTGCTCAAGAAGGGCAAACCCGCCTCGGAGCCAGTGTCCTATTGCCCTGTTTCCCTTACCTCCGCAACGGGCAAGCTCTTCGAGGCCATGGCACTGAGGAGACGTGAATGGATTGCCGAGGCACTGGATGTTTTCTCGCCTTCGCAGTGTGGCTTCCGCCTTTCGCGTGCTACTGCCGACGCCCTTGCCGACGTCATCGCAACGCTAGAGGAAGCACAGCACAAAGAAGAGGCCGGGTACCTCATCCTGTTAGACATCAAGGCGGCATTCGACTCCCTGCCACACCCCACCATCTTGAACGCGGTACGCGATCTCGGAGTGACCGGTCTCCTCTTCATGTACATCGCTTCCTCCTCGGCGACAGAACCATGCGTGTGCGCGTCGGTAGAGTCCTTAGTGAGCCGCGTCCCGTGAGTGTCGGTGTTCCGCAGGGCAGTGTACTCAGCCCCTTCTTGTTCAATCTCGCCCTGGCTGACATCGACGATTACATTCCCCGTGCTCTTCTCTGTGATGTGCGCGTGGCGGTCTACGCAGACGACATTGCGGTGTTCGCGACGGGACCTGTGCCCAGTGGCCGGTGTATTCGCACCAGTGTCCAAACCGTCCTGGATTCTATTGACGCGTTCGTCATGGGCAGGGGGATGAAGCTTTCAGCGGCGAAGACGGAGGCGATGCTGCTGCACCCCAGTTATGGCGCCCAGCGCTACACACCGAAGTTCCCTCTCCAAACAATCCCCAATCCTTGGAAGAGGCGAGTGACCTACCTCGGAGTGCAGCTGGACCAACGCCTCAACTGGTCACCAGCGGTCAGCGACAAGCTTCGAAACGTGCGAAGGGTCGCCTCCGCCGCTCGAGCGCTCCTTGCTCGCGGCAATGGATGCACACCGTCCCTAGCTCTCCGCATCTACAACGGAATGGCTGCGGCGCGCATTTTGTACGGCCTTTCTCTCGCAGCGCTTACGCGTTCCAACTGGGAGATACTGGACGCAGCGCATCGTATCGCGATTCGCCAGTTTTTCAGCTTGCCCAGATCATCTCAAATCGGCCCAACACTTGCTGAGGCGGGAGACATGCCACTGTCACTCCGGGCCGATCTTCGAGCGCTAAATCACATAGAGCGTATGAAACGCTCGCGCCACGGACAGCAGCTGGTATTCTGGCTCTCCTCACTTCCGCACTCACGGATGGGGCAATGCGCTGCGGCATTCTACGCCCTCATCCCGAGCTCACTGGATGGGATTGACTATAGTGCCCCGCCCTGCCACCATCGCCCTCTCAAGATTCGGACACGGTTACCGGGAGTGGCAAGCAAGCAGACGACGCCAGTGTGTGAGCTTCGGCACGAAACTGCTGCCACTTTTGACAAACTTCTCGCGGGACGACTCCTCGTCTTTACTGACGGTTCAGTGTTGAACGACGGGTGTGCCGCGGCTGCGTGTGTGGTGCCTTCGCTGGAGCTTCACAATCAGTACCGCCTCGCCTGCGAGGCATCGTCGACGATAGCCCAACTCGCCGCACTTGACCTCGCCGCCGATTCCCTCATTCAACTGAGAGTTCCGTCGGCTGCCGTTCTCTCGGACTCACGTGCTGCTCTCCAACTACTCGCGCAGGACGCCCGCAGACCACCGGTTTCCACGCGCATCGCGCGAAAGCTCGAAGCAGTGCAGGACCTAGGGTGTGATCTTGTGCTGCAATGGATACCGGCGCACGTTGGAATATCCGGCAACGAAGCGGCCGACGAGCTGGCCAAAGAAGCACACTCTCCGGGAACCCCTGTGACTACAGCGGTGAGCACATTCGACGTAGCAAGGCTTCGCACACGGTGCTCCGTCACCGCTCGCCACCCGGACCCACGAGTTGCGGCAGGGCAGCCACCACGCCCACTCCCGAAAACTGGATTTTCGAGAGAGGAGCGTGCCCTCCTTCTCCGCCTGCGCATCGGCTGCTACCGCACGGCGGAACGGGTTCACAGACAGTCGGGACGTGGAGACCCAAATTGCCGTCATTGCCCACAGCCCGAAACACTCCATCACAATATCTTCCAGTGTGAGGAGTATTCGGACACGCGCAGATTACTCTTCGATGCTTACAGCAAACTGGGACTCTGCACCAGCACTGTTGATGTGATTCTTTTTCCCCGTGCGCACGCATGCCTCGTGAAGCGCGCGCAAGCTGCCCTCATCACCTTCCTCAAGACTTCTGCGCTATTTGAGCGCTTGTGAACTGAAGGAGCATTAGTGCCTCCCCATCGATGTCCACTGGACTCGTATTAGTGAGTGCTCCGGACCACAACGTTTTCCGTACGGAGATTACGCGCTTCGGCGAGTGCTTCACGCGCTTTGTACGACGCGCAAATCAAACCGTTGTCCTCCTCTCGATGACGATACCTCTCCGGCCCTTGGGAGCTTTCCTAGTCAGCTGTGCATGGCGCGTGGGGGCTTGTGAGTCCGTTGCGGAAAGCAGAACGAATGACCCTCGCCTTTCTTTTTTTTTCTCTTTTCCAATCTTTCTCTCCCTATATCTTTTATTCCCCATACCCCATACCTGTGCTGACCTGTTGAGGTGTCCTTGTAAGGAGAGACAGTTACGGGTCGGCACTTTTCTTTTCTTTTCTTCTGTTATAACCACTTATATATAGTGTGCGCGCACGTCAATGCTACATTGGAATGTATTGTGCCATTCATGATGAGCTCGCGGCCGTTTTGATACCTCCACATATACCCGATGTGGTGTTATGTGACGTCAATGGATGACTAAATATATGATGGGTTTAAACATGGTAATCGTGACACGCCTGTCATGTAAGAACATGAGAACATACCACGCTCATAGCGTGCTCGTGGCCGTTTCGCTAGCTCCATAAATACTAAATTTCTTATCACGTGACGTGAATTGACGACGAAGGTAAACGACACAATAAAGCATGATAATTTTGACACGTAAGTCAAGTATGGCGTCATTTATCTCAACCTCGTAACATTGTGCTGATTTTAAAGTAACGTATCAACTCGTTTCATTCGTGCTTCGCATGTCATCGATTTCCACTGCACGTGGGATCTGCCAAATTTTTCAAGTTTGACTCCAGCTGTTCCACTTTACAGCAGCGATTTGCGTGCAGTGCGCCTGTAGTATGCGACACGAAACTATCGCCGTACTCTTTCGCCGGTCACATGCCAATAGTAAGATATACGTGTTACGACTCATGCGTGGTTGCACGCACCGCACATTTTTAGTACAACTCTGACGGCCTACTATCGCGATGCAAAGAAACACGAACGGCGCGCAAATCATGGCTTTCGACAAGGTCGGACTTCGACATGCCTTGACTCTCCCTAGGCGAATGTATATGTGCTTTCGGCTGGCGTCACCATGGCTTTTTAAAATATTATTGTTCTGGCTGGCACTTTTACACCGCATGTGTGTCCCGAGTGCCCGACATGAATGGCAATTGATACACATGCGGTGCATGAGCGTAAGTTGGGGCCAGATTCTAGCGCTACGTTGGCGCCAGCTCACAGCACAAATTCTGTCTCGTCATAGCCAAGGCACCCCGCAGTTAACACTTTCAGCTGTTCGCGTTTCTTTCATTCGGATTATACGTACCTGATAAAGTTGCTTCTGCAGTCTGCAATGCACTGCAATGAATGCAATGTTTGCTAGTCTATCGCGGCAACGATCGGTAACCAGGTGGCAGTTTCAACGCGCTGCACTCTTAACACGAAAAATTGGTGCCAGCAATGCACCTGGAGTGGCCGTTCACATAGATGCACACTACAGATAACAAACTGTCACAAGCGGCAAGACACGACGTATAGCCTTAGTACCAGCAGGCGCTGCCCATGGGGGGCCCTTCTCATGAACGCTGTTACTATGCACGAGCCATGTTGTCATCTACTGTTGGCGCGCCCTAGAAAATTTGGTTACATATCAAGTGAATGTTTATTAAGATCCATGCGTGGCTCCGTAAATAGCCGGAATATGTTGCTATTGCATTCATTGCTTCGCCCTTTTGGCGTGACTGTCCTTTTTTTTATTGAGCGAAACGTTACAAAATGACGCTAAGCATTAGTACAAAACGCGTGTACGCACAGACGTAAATACCGCTTATGTTATCCCCTTCTCATTTGCGTTCATTACTATTTGTTTGCCGCAATGTAAACACCCAGCGCTGCTGAAGAGTACAACAGATCGAGCGCTCGCAGCATTACATACGAGTGCCCATCTGTCGCGAAGAGATAAATGGGAGAGGAGGAACGAAGTGGAGGCAGCGCTCTGTCACCTTTTTTTCCCACCCCAACAAGCTCACGGGACGAGAGCGGGGGAGTAGGCGCATGCACAGTGGTGGAGCGGTTTGTCGCCGATTGATGAACACAGCTGCTAGCATAAGCTGCTGGCACCTAAAAAATCGGAGCAATGAACGCACCTGTAGTGTTTACGTCCACCGAAGAAAATGCCTCATGGCGTATGACAAGCCACTCAGAAGTCGGAAATTTCAGATAATCAACACACATTAGAGGAGAGGGTCTTGTTGTTTCGGCCTATACTATCGCTAGATAACAAAGCCGCTTCACGCGTTTTCTGCCCTGTCCGTCCTCCAGTCGAAACGTTGGGCAGTCTTCTGTTTATACAACCTAATCGGATGCAGGACTTCAACCCATCGGTTCCAACTAAACTTCACAATAGGATATAGACAAAACTGATCGTCGTTGGAAAATGTCCGCTAGAGGTAATAACATAAAGAAGACGAATTTCAGAAACGCTTGTCTAAGGTCCCTTTCGGTGTTAGGGAGAACTTATGATAATCACGTAAATGAAAATACATATTTGTATTGTTTATACAAATTATTCCTTTTCAAGCTCCAAGGAGACGATATTTATATAGCTCTTAATTCAAGAATCATCATATGAACCTTTTGCTTCACGTGCATTTCTCACGAAACCAACATACGTGTTCCACTTGAGTGATAATCTGAGAACTGGACGTTATAAGTGGAATCGGTAGAATTTTGTTTCACTACGTGTGCAAGTTACTTATACCACATGTGATTCGTGAAAACTATGCCGTGATGACTGTGCAGAGTCGTCAGGAAATTATTTCTACGTTCAAGTGGTTAAATAGAGGACTAAGTACGCCAGGCAAACAGCCCATGTTAGAACTATCTATTGGAAGCAGCCACATATTTTGATTACGCAACGCATATACTGTTAAGGAAAACCTTTTAAAATATAAGCATGTGAAGTATGCGCCCACTCATGAACTAAATTCTAGCGCTATTGTCGTCTTTATATTTGTCGGTATTTTTGGCCAAACCAAAGTGGCGTTTGTACTCTTTTTACTTTTTTGCATTTCACCATGCTGGGCAAGTAGACTCGTACCAAACAGAAAGGAAAGTAAGTGAGGCTAAGGTGAAACCACCTACTATCTGTAGCGTGACGTCTGGTTTTATTAAAATACAAAAGTAAGAATAATGGTTTCACGCCTGTGTCAGTGTGTGAGGGCCAAACCTCATAAGCGCAAAAATGCACGCGACAGCGACGAGCGATGCGACGTAGATCGTCTTCGCGTGATCAGTCGCTAGCGCTGGCAAACCTCATTCACGCGACGGCTTCGGCGAGCGAACTTCACTGTCGCTGGCATGAGGCCGTCTACTCGCACCAAGAAAACCGCGTAGTGAGTGGTATGCAATTTAAAAATAAGACATATTGTTGTGTAAGGAACAGAAAGTGTTTATGAATGCCTTGCAACATTTTTTTATATGCACATGCGTAAACATTCGTTATTTCCTGTTGCGCATACGTGACTAGGGCAGAGTCACGTGCACTTATGTAGTCTTTGTATTTTCGGGTTTATCGCTATTGGCTGCTTGAGCCCAGCACTTCCGGGCGATGAGCGACGGTTTCCAAATCTGGAGAACCGAGCGATCGCGCGAAAACGAGCACGCGACACGTCGCGCGAACGCCCAGTTTCGTCGCTCATAGCATCGCTCGTCGCGGTCGCGTGCATTTTTGCGCTTATGAGGTTTACACTTGACAGTTCGTTCTGTGCTAATGAGAGAGACGTGCTCTTGTCGGAGCGAGTAGACGCGCGTCGTGTCGGCTCCGGTTTCAATGCATGTTTTGCAGCGGAAGTCACCTACAATCCCCCAAGACTTTGGTACCCGCGTATTCAGCTTGTCATCAGGAATCACCCGGCACCAAGTTCCAAGTGGGGACTTGAATTTCGACACCTTTATCGACGCATTTTTGTCAACCACGCTGGTGTAAGAGCTACGCCTGACGCCTGCCAAGCCACCGGCAGCGCAGCTGCATGCCAGAGACGCTGCTGCCTAGGCCGGCCTAACTCTGCGGGCATCAAGAAACGCCGGTCGGCGCGTTTGACGCGTCCGACTTTCTGAGAAGAAATGGAGGTCACTGTGGAGGAAGAACCCATTTCCCGTGAAGAATTCGAAGAAAGTACAGCATGGAGCACCGTAGGATCACAGAAGTCGACCCGCCGGCAATCACTAGAACCTGGTGCGAATTATCAACGAGGGAATAACAGCAAGAAACGGTGTGAGCAATGCCTGAGTCAATTAACAAGATTAAGCCGGACGCCTCCACTGCCCCGAGGCGACTACAAGATCATCATCCGAACTAAAGGCGGCCTTCGACTCATCGATCATGCAGCCGCCCGACTGGCGACTAGCATTTACCATGCCACTGAAATTCCGAGAGACGCCCTAAATGAGGACACAATATGCCCAAATTTCCAGCAAAATATCATCGTTGTGAGCCCACCCATCGAGGCGCATGCTGATAGATACCAGAAAGCTTCTCGCATTGTGGTCGGCAACAAGACGTACGATACCAGCGCATATAAAGCAGCACCAGACGGTACGTCAAAAGGCGTGATAGGTGATATCCCGTTGGAAGATACCACCCGTGATATTACGGCTAATGTGATTACACAACAAAGAACCCTACAGGCATCGCTGCAAAACGCCTCAGCAACACAACGACGGCGATCGTACTGTTTGCTGGTCTTCGCGTGCCAAAATACGTTCGATACGGTGGGGCAATGTTGAAGTGCTCCCTTTACCGCAAGCAGATAGAGACGTGTTACCAATGCGGTCGCCTGGGGCACCGCGCAGATGTATGCTCAAACCGGAAACACCACGTGTGACGTAGCTGTGGTACGATCAACCCCCCACAAGATCACCAATGCCAGCCCACTTGTCAACTA